AACTTTTCTGCAACTTCCTTTTTGTCTTTTGGCAAAGGTGCTGCTACCTCTTGGCCAGAATCCTCCATCTCCCATCCGTCACCTGCTTGCAACAATAGAAAAAGAAAAGTTAACACAAACTTAGGTGCAAAAGGGATCAAGCACCACTGCTGTATTTGAACAGTACCAAACTTCAACCCAAATCACTTTGGTTCAAAACATGGTGTCAATCCTAAAGCCATTTTGGATCGTGTTCAGGGTTGGCACAGCGAGGCTGGGCAGAGCTGTGGGAATGGGAGGGGGGAGTAGATAGCTGGGCATGTGTAGCCAAAATAGAATTCTTTCCCCTGGGAACCAAGGATGTTCTCATCAGCACCTGGTGAGGCACATGAGGAAAACAGCTGGACTCGGACTGTGATCTGATTGGACCATGTGATGGATGAGTGGACTGGGGGGAAGAACTTTGAATTGGGTGGGGAAAACCTCTGGACCTTCAGAGTTGGCTTATCACCAGCTGTGCCAATAGGACTTGGTGAATAAATTTATATTTTGAGGAATCATCAAACCTCAGAGTTTTGATTCTTTTGAGTCAGTTACTTCTAACCCTGACATATGATGCTATGCTTGGTATCTTGATATACTGTAAATTAATGTTACATATATATATATATATGTATGCACACACACTGTAAATATATATTTACAGGAAAACTTCATCCAGTTGTCTGGAAAGTGTTGGGCAGCTTCATCAGCACACACAGCTTTACCTGTTGTTCGTAAGTTATAGTAATTAAATCGTTTTCGGAATGGCACAAACCAGCCAAGACTGGCTCCAAAGGTCTCATTGTACTCCTCACCCGCTGCTTGCTTTAGCGTTTCAAAAACGCTCCGTGCCTTTCCCTGAATCAGATGAAGACTAACGGGACTTCTTTTTGGGATCTGATTCTCAATCCAAAGCACAAGGAGCTGTTCTGTTTTTTGAAAAGAGGTCTGTCCTATTTCTCGTGATTATGGCATCGGCTCTTGGAGCTAATTTAATCACCTCTTTTATCTTTTCTTTACCCTTAAGGATCGTGCATATGGTGGAACAAGCCAGTCCTCCTCCTTTTTCTAAGGTCTTTACCTTCTTCCCCTCTCATGGGCTTTAATTATTTTCATTTTCAAGTCCAAATTGATACTTTTCCTTTGTTTCTTACCTCCATGTTGAGCCGGAGTAGAGCTTGGTCGCTTTCCTTGGGAAGACACTTCTAGCCTAAGAAAGAGTTGATGGAAAAGGACAGTATTTTGTCCTGGAGAGAGAGAGAGAGAGAGGCTGGCTCAGAGCTGTTTAGTAAAATCAATGTTATGCTTCAGGGAGGAAGTATTGTAGGGCAATAATGTGTCTTCCTTCTCTGTCGACCATTTCTTGAAAAAAGCATAGCAATGGTCGCTGCTAGCAGCAATATAGAGCACAGTACTTGAAAGTCTTTTATTTACAGTACTGTATTAAACTGTGGTTTATATACTCCATCTTTGTGTTTAACCTGTTCCACTTAGTTATTTGTTCCCTTCCTGCACAGCATGTGCAAGATTGAATTTGATTCTTAACAAAAGGGAGAGAGGGAATTGTGAAGGCCAGTACTCTCCTTACTGTCCATTTGTGAAGAAAAGCCAGGCTTCATAGAAAAGGATGAAAACCTCAGATAAATAGCTTGCAAATTTGAAAATCAGCACTTTAGAGAAGAATACACCAACAAAATAATAATAATAATGCTGGAGGAGTTGACGTGCATTAATTAAAAAAATATTTTGCACTACAGTAACAGAATCCCTTACCTAATGAGGCCATGTTCCTCTTGTTTTCCAGCATGACTTCTTGGTACAGGGCTTTTTGCTCAGAATCCAGCAGGGCCCACTCCTCCACAGAGAAAAACACAGCTACATCCTCAAATGATACCAAATCCTGACACAGGGAGGGGGGGAAAAAAACCACAACGTATTCCATGAACATTCCTAACAATGAACACTTTAATGAATTATATGCAAGTCGTCTTCTTAATGAAAAACCTCCAGAGCTTCCAAGTAGGGCAAAGGAGCATGTAGGATATTGAATTTGGTAGCTGAAAGAGTAAAGTCTAACTGATTAGTGAGAGAGTGCGGGCTCATGCAGGATGCAATCTACGCTATGATTGGTTGCTCTAAGTAGAAAGGGGGCATTTCCCTTTTTTCCCTCTTTGTGTTCTACATCTTTAGATTTACCTCAGGATGTTCCTCTGTCTTCCTGACTATCTTATGTTCTTCCTTTTCTGGATGGTGACAAAGACTGCTGTAAATTTCCATGTAAAATATATTTATGTTTATATAAAACTCTCCAAGTCTATGTCAGTGTCTCCAACTTCATCTGGGCAGCTGCTGCGCTCTCTACAAAAGCCAAGCTTGGACTTTTCTTTTCACCTTAGTATTATTACTGCTTTATAAAACCTTAGTAAGGCCACACCTGGAATACTGCATTCAGTTTTGGTCACCAGATTACAAAAAAGATGTTCAGAGTTTGGAAGAAGTGCAGAAAAGAGCAACTAAGATTGTTAAAGGCCTGGAGACTAAAACATATGAAAAATGGTTGCAGGAAATGGAAGAAGGACCAGAGGAGACACAATAGCAGTGTTTCAATATTTGAGGGGCTGCCCCAAACAAGCAGGGCTCAACTTATTTTCCAAAGCACCAGAAGGCAGGAGAAGAAACAATGGATGGAAACTAATAATGGAGAAAGGCAACCTAAAATAAAGGAGAAACTTCCTGAAAGTGAGAACAATTAACTAATGGAAGGGTTTGCCTTCAGAAGTTTTGGGCTGGGGTTTTTTAAGGAGAGACTGGACAGCCACTTGTCTGAAAGGTTATAGGGTCTCCTGCTTGAAACAGAGGGATGGACTAGAAGATCCCTAAGATCCCTTCATATTGTGATATTCTGTGATTGGGAGATTGTTACATCTGGGGAGGGGAGAATCCTCCTACCTGCATTGGAAGCTCAGCTGCTGTTGATCCACCACTACAAAGAACTGAGATTCCAGGAGATGAAGACATGGCTATGAAAGGGTCTAGGAGTGGAAACAAAGCAGCAAAGGAATCATTGGCTATCAAACATCCTAAGATATTCTTGAGCATCCAGTGCAAAATGCTGATTTTAGCCTATTTCTGGGCTAACTAGGGAACCCCTTTAGGTGGTGAGTCCTTTGCAGCCATAGCTAGAACTCATAGAAGCTCATTCTGGGTGAGAGGAAAACTGAAAGGTGTGGAAGGACCAGGGATTGGAGTCAGAGGCAGATTATC